ATAGGGAACCTAGTGTGACGATATTGCTATCGAGATTAAGTAGATTTCAAGAGAAAAATTATTATGAGATATAAAGGGGGGGCTTTTCAGAATTATAAAGGGACTGAGTATTTTAAAATATTAAAAATCCTTAAGGTGCATGTACCTGTATTAGTTTCCGAGGATTGCTATAACAAAATACCACAAATCGGGCGTGAAAAAACCGAAAAATCAAAAATGTAATGTCTCACAGTTCCGTCGGGTGGAAGTCTGAAACCGAGGTGTCGGAAGCGTGGTGCTCCCTCCGGGACCTGCAGGAGAGACCCCTTTCTTGTCTCTTCCTAGCCCTGGGGTGACAGCTGGCTTTGGTGTGGCCTTGCAGCTACAGCACTTTAATCTCTGTCTCCCTTGTCACACGCTGTCCTCTCTTCACGTGTGTTTGTCTTCATGTGGCAATTTCCTGTGTCGTACTGAATTGGGGATCACCCTAATGACCTTGTCACAATTGATCACATCTGCTAAGACTCTGTTGCTGAAGAGGGTATGTTCCCAGATACTGAGGGTTAGGACTTAAACAGATATCTTGTTGTGGGGGGAGGGGAGTACACCATTCAACCCATGAAACTACCTAGTAACAAAGCTTCACAATAAAGGAAGGAAAAAATGGGACAAATACAAAGTTAATTATCCTATTGGAGAAATTAACATCTCCGGTCAGAAGTTGGTGGAACAACTAGACAAAAAATTGGGAAGGATACAGAAATTCCAAACATGAATGTAATTGACATTTATATAGTCAACGATTTCAACACACACTGTTTTTTCAAGGGCACTAGGAGTGGTCACTAAGATAGACCATATGCTGAGGCATAAAATAAGTCTCGACGTATTTCAAAGGACAAGCATCTTCAATAGTAAACCAAAATGGAATTAAGTTAGACATCAGTAACAACCAGGTATCCAGGAAAGCTCCAGATATTTGGAAATTGAGCATATATTCTTACAAGTACCTAATGTATCAAAGAAATTACAAAGGAAATTAGAAAAATGAGTGAAGTGATAATGAAAACACACAAATCAAAAGTTGTAGAATGTAAATAAAGCAGTGCTTAAATTTATACTTTTATGTACCTATATTAGAAAAGAAGGAAGTTTAACCATAGTAAATCTACTATTCTAACTTCATAAGTTTCGACCCTTTTTGCTTGAAAAGGAACAAATGAAACCAAAAGTAAATAGAAGGAAGTAATAAATAATAGAAGAAATCAATGAAGAAAGCAGACAAATGCCAGCAAAGATGAAAGTCAAAAGCTGGTTCTTTGAAAAAATTAACAAAATTAATAATCTATTTTGTGGATTAATCAGGAGAAAAAGAAAGGAATCACAAAGTACTTATATCAAGAATGAAAAAGCAGCCCTGGGCTGGTGTAGCTCAGTGGATTGAGTGTGGGCCTGTGAACCAGAGGATCTCGGTTTGATTCCCAGTCAGGGCACATGCCTGGGTTGCAGGCCAGTTCCTTAGCAGGGGACACATGAGAGGCAACCATACATTGATACTTCTCTCCCTCTCTCCTTCCCTTCCCCTCTAAAGATAAATAAATAAAATCTTTAAAAAAAAAGAATGAAAAAGCATTATTACTACAGATTCTACTGACAGGAAAAGAGAAGCATGTTGGAATCTAAGAGCAATAAAACAAGCTGACAGAACAGGACAGAACCAGACTCAAAGACATGGCAAGCAGACTGATGGCCACTGATGGTCGCCAGATGGGAAGGGGTAATGGGATGGGTGGAGAAGGTGAAGAAGATAAAGAAATACAGGTTGCCAGGTATAAAATTAGTCATAGGGATGTAATGTACACCAGGCAATGCAGTCAATAGTATTGTCATAACTACATCTGGTGACAGGCATGTCCTAGACTTACTGTGCTGATCACGTCGTAAGTCACAGAAGTGTCTGAACACCATGCTGTATACCTGGAACTAATAAACTATGTATGTCAACTATAATTTAAACACGCACCTGAAAAAATGATTACAAAAACAAAAGACCTCAGGTAGATGCAATTTTTAGTTTCACCAGGAAATTTATTAATAATGTCTTTTTTGATTGTTAATTTTACAGATTTAATAACATGATATTATAAAAGGTTAGTTTAGGGGGGAAAAAGACAGCAAAAAGGGTAGAGTGAGGACCTCTGAAAATTTTGCCTCCATGAAAGAAAGCTAACAAAAGTTGTCAGGGTCGACTTTTTCAGAACTGTGGAAATTAGCAAAGACCTGGCAACAACAGTTCAGGGAATGCTTATGCAAAAAAGAAAAAAAGAAAGAAAAAAAAGGAGCTGAGCCTTGGTGAGAAGAGCAAACTGTGTGCTGTTTTAACTTGCTCGATTTTCATCACTCCAACACTGGCTCCATTACTGGAAATCAGTAACCTGCAAACAACTCTGTGATCTTAGAAAACACTGGTAAACTTACTGATTTCTATGCATTTAGGGAAATCTCTATCTGGTCATTAACTAATTGACCACTAGGCTAATGGAGCAGAAACTCTAGTAGCCACATAGACAAAGAAAACCGACTTCATGGAATTAAGTTAGAAAAGTCACCAAACAAATAAGAACAACAGCCACGACAAACCCTGGGGCGGGGGGACTCTGGTGGCCACAGTGCCACACTGTATTATTTTAAATATCAGGTTTTGAATGAAAAATTATGTATACAGAGAGACAAGAAGGAATGGCCCATATGAAAAAAAAAGTCAAAAGAAATTATCCTTGAGGATGTACAGGTATTGGAATTATAGATAAAAACTTCAAATCAGCTATTTCAAATATGGTCAAAGAACCTTAGGAAATCATCTCTTAAGAAATAAAGGAAAGTATGAGAATGATGTCTCTTGAAATAGAGAATACCAGTAAGGATAGATATAATTTTTTTTATAAAGAACCAGATATGAATTCTGGAGTTGACAGGTACAATAACTAAAAGAATAATAATAAAAATTCACTAGAGGGGTTCAGCACCAGATCTGAGTAGCCAGAAGAAAGAACTGGTTAATCTGGCTGATGGTCAATTGAGATTGATCCAGTCTGTGAAACAGACAGGGAAAAGAATAAAGAAAAATGAATGGAGCCTCAGAGACCTGAGGGACACCAACAAGCATACTGACATCCGCATAATGGGAGGAGAGAGAGGGAGGACAGAAGGAATGATTTAAAGAAATAACAAAGGAATACAAATAGTAAGAAGGCAGTAACAGAGACAGAGAGAGAGAGCAAGAGGGAAGTAACACAAAAATATATAGCAAACGGCTGATGTAAATCCTACCTTATCAGTAATTTAAGGCAATTAAACATGATCATGAAAAGGCAGAGATCTGGAGAATGCAGAAAAAGCATGGTCCAACTACATGCTGTCTGTACAAGCCACGCTTTAGATTCAAAGCCACAGACAGGTGGAAAGTGAAAGAGTGGAAAAAGAGATGTCATGCAAGCAGCAATCAACAAGATAGACCACATCCAGGTAAGAAAACAAGTCTCCATAGATTTTAAAGGGTTGAAATAATACAAAGCATATGCTTTAACCACGAAGGAATGAATTTGGCCTGCTAGGTTTTAGTAAATATCTACTTCATGGAATTCGAAAAACATGGCTTACGCCCCTCCTAGTTATTTCTACTGTCTAACCAGCCCTTCCAAACTGACCCTGGAAAAAGAATCCCAGAAACACTCTGCGTGAGTCACCAGGCACCTCACCAACGAAAGCGAGGTCATAAGGGACGTTGTGGTGTTTATTTCCTGGATGCTAGCATCCATTGTGTTAGGCAAATTATTTAGTGTCTGTCTCTAAGCCCCAGTTTTCTCATCTGTAATTAGATCATTATACATACCTACCTTAAAGATTTAGCGTGAGAAATTAAATGAGATACTATTTATAAATCTTCATTCCTACCCACCTCATCCTCTGTCTTTCTCCTCCCCAGACAAACAATAGGACTGGTACTGGTCTGGAGCCTGTTAGGAACCGTGGAAAAACTGTCTTCCACGAAACCCTTGTGCCAAGAAGGTTGGGGACTGCTGTTGGAAGGTGTACATAGACTAGAAGAGGTTATAAAGATTGTAAGCGATGACATATGTGACTTGTCTAGCACACAGTAGGTACCCCGTAAGTGTAGCTTTTACTTTTTTTAGCAGTAGTCTACACCTTGACCTTTTCCTCATTTTTGCAGCTTAGCTTGTCCACTGGGCCAACTCCAGCCACGTCCTCTGTAAACACCATCTTTCCCTTTGCCCCCCCTCCCCTCCTCTAACACCCACTTTTCCTACTCCCCACCCAGAGGGAGGAAACAGATCTAGAAGAATGGATGTAAACCTCAGTAAACAATTGTGAGAACAGTATTTATGTGCCAACATTATTTTTGTCTTGGGTATATGTGTGAGAGAGAAACCTCTGTTAAACTGGGATGCTTTCAAACCCCAGTGAAACAGAACTGGAAATTTTAAAAAAATCATGTTCTATCAGCGGTATGGAAAGAGAGCGCCCAGTTTAAGCACGCGGGAGTGACCACGGGCTCCAGCCTTCAGGGATCGAGCGCTGAGATGCAAAGCTCAGGGCTAGGGAAGAGGAAGTAAGGATTTTAAAAAAAATAAGAAGGAACTGGGGCAGTTGTTGAACTGTTCCTACAGTTATTTTTTTAAAGTCCTGTCCCGATAGGGCTCCCTCGCTCGCCAAGCGCTGGAGACATCGCCGGCCCAGGTGAGTTCGACGAAAGAACTCGTGGCACGCGCGTCTGTGCAGAAGCCCAAGCAGGTCTCGGCTCTGACTCCCGGGGTCCGGGGGTCCCCACCCGACGCCTCGGCTTCCTCCCCCGCAGAGCGGCGGCAGGAACCCACCGGAGGCCGCGGGGAAAACCTGAAGCCCCCGGCCCCGCTCACTCCCGGGTCAGCGCGCGGGTCCCCGGGGGCGCCCGAGCGCCGGCCCCGCCCCGCGCCCCACGTGACTTCCTGCAAAAGGCCCCGCTGCGCTCAGTTTCGATTCCCCGCCAGCCTCCCGGAGACCGCGCGGCAACCCGTCCCGGCGCCACCCGTCCCAGCGCGAGCCGTGCGGTCCCCCGAGGAGCGCCATGGCGGACCTGTCCCTGGCCGAGGAGCTGACGTGCTCCATCTGCCTGGATCTCTTCAGGATGCCGGTCACCACCCCGTGCGGCCACAACTTCTGCGGACAGTGCCTGGACGAGACGTGGGCCGCCCCGGGCGCGGCGTACCAGTGTCCACAGTGCCGCAGAACGTACAAGGTGCGGCCGCAGCTGCACAAGAACACGGTGCTGTGCGCCGTGGTGGAGCAGTTCTCGAAAGTCGAACAGGCCCGCGCGACAGTGCCCGACGGCTGGACGCTGCCCTCCCGCGCCGAGGCCCCCCAATCCACCGGCCAGGTGTCCTGCGACCACTGCCTGAAGGAGGCTGCCATCAAGACGTGCCTCGTGTGCATGGCCTCCTTCTGCCAGGAGCACCTGCGGCCGCACCTCGACAGCCCCGCCTTCAAGGACCACCCGCTGCAGCCGCCGGTCCACGACTTGTTGAACCGAAAGTGTCCCCAGCACAACCGGCTGCGCGATTTCTTCTGCCCCGAGCACAGCGAATGCATCTGCCATGTCTGCCTGGTGGAGCACAAGATCTGCTCTCCTATGCCTTTGAGTCAGGCCAGCGCAGACCTGGAGGTAGGGGGTGTATCCGCAGAGGGGCAGCGGGGGCCTGTTGGGTTGTACAGAGGGCACCACCAGCGAATTCTGCATCACCTGTGGTAGGGGAAGATGGGCCTTGCTGGACCTGAGATGGGGCAGAAGACACAGGTGATGTGGCTTGCCCGAAGCCTAGTATTTGTCTGATGGTGTTAATAGAGGGTTTTGAACGTCAAATATGAACCCTGGAGGTTACCTCTGATCCCTCATTAAATCCTGGCGGCACCCAGGGGGTGGGTATAATTTGTTCCATGTCTCAGTGGAGGAGATGCAGTTCAGAGAGGTTAATTTAGCCCAGGTGACACGGTAAGCAGCCAGGCAGGCACTGGGACCCACAGATTTGACTCGCCAGCTTGCCGCATCTCCACAGGAACGGCCTCATTCCTGAGTCAGAGCTGGCATGCTCCCGGAGTTCGAAGTCATGTGAGCAAGAGCGTTTGGAGAGCTGGAGAGCTCCAGGACTAGGGAGGATCCCTAGGAGGGAGGGCTGCCTGAGTCCTAGGAATGCTTGGACTTGACCTGCAGGGAGAGCCAGTGCCCTGGTACCACAGTACCCTCCCACATGACTGTGTGGCTGGGAGCCGGGATTTGGCCCCTTGGCCTGGGTCCTCACCAGTAAAGTGAGGAGGTGGGACCGGGTTGCATCCTAAATGGCCTTCCAGGTCTGATGGTTGTAGTGGTTTGGAGGACCGTTGCTTCCACCTGTGGACTTAAGGCAGAGGAGGAAAAGGTGTAATCAAACTGCCTTTTGTTTTATTAGCCTAAGCTCCAAAGTGTGCCCTGAAGTCCTTTCATTCCCTCAGCGCTGTCAAGGAGAACAGGACTGGACTGTCCTCGTGTTGGCGAAGCAGACCTGAGGCCTGGGGTGGGGGTGGGGGTGGGGGTATTGTTAGTAGCACCTGGACCTGGGTTCCGGCCTTGCTTTCTTCCGGCCACCGCCCCTCCCCCACCGGGCCTGCTTCTCCCAGTCTGAGCCGGGTTCCTCTGGATTTCTTCCCTGAGCCTGGGAAGCCAGACCTCCAGGCACAGCCTGGAAGTTGACCTCTGAAGTGCAGCAGCCACCTGGGTCTTCTTCACCTGTGATAGCAAAGAACCTGACTAGGTTTTGGAGCCAGGAGCCCTGCTCTGCCCCGGATCAGCTGTGCTTTCTAGTCACTTCGGGAGCCTCCTCTGTACAATGGGATGAGTGGCATCCCCTCTCTACCTGCCCTGGAGGTGGGGAGGCTGTGGAGAGACTTGCCGCGTTCTGAGTGCTTGGCAGGCAGACGGGCCCCAGAGTAGGTGGACTGGCTGGTTGGTTGACAGGGGCTCTAGCCAGAGCTGGATGTTGAGACCTGCATTTGAATTCTGGCTCTGCTTCCTAGCCAGGAAATCCTAGGAGGGGATAATGACAGTTACTTATCTCAGAAGGTTGTCTTAGGCAACCTACAAACAGTGTTTTACATTTCTGCTACCCCACCCAGGGGAGAGGAGAGCATGCTGGGCAGAGGGTGTCAGGCTGTGCAGATCTTTGCCTCGGGAGGGTGTCTGGGCCTGCCCGCAAAGATGGAGGCAGCTCGGCTCCTGCCCAACAGCCTTCCCAGAAGTTCTTATCCATGGGGACAGAAGGCAGGTAGGGGCAGGAGGGCCTTTCCTAGCCTGTCCCAGAGCCACAGCTCTCTCAGCCTCCAGGGCCCACAGCTGGAGTCTGCACCCCGTTTGTTTGAGTGCCACACATGTTTCACTTTTTAATTCTTGTGACAGGCCTTCTGCCACCTTCTCTCCCTTTTCCCCCTTGTCCTGGCTGAGTCCTTTAGCCCTGCTGCTGCTCACTCCTGGCGGCAGAGCCAGCCCCAGCTGGACCGTGCCCCAGCCTTGGGCGGCTGGCCTGTCTCCCCATCACTGGTCCAGGGCCGACCCAGGAGTCTGTACTGCCCACGTGGAGGATGCAGGTCCCCAGTCTGTTCAGGGATCCTCAGAACTTCAAAAAGTTCTCTGCCCTCAACTAGGGAATTGTTGTGGCTTCCAAAGTCCTGGGACCACTTCTTTTGTCTCGAGCTGTATGGGCCCCCTTCTACCGTCAGGGGACTGTCATGTATGCTGGATTAATGGTGGATAAAAATCTTTCAAAATACGGAGTTTGGGAGTTCACTACTAAGAGTGGCTCTTGGAGGCAAAGCAATTGGTGACCACCCCCCCCCACCCCACCCTCCGACCCGGTGTTTGGAAGGTTCTAGCTCTGAGGCCTTTTAAGTTGGACCTGCTTGGGCCTGGCCTTCAGCCTTTGGCCTACTTTGTCTTGGCTACTCTTACGGGTCAGGTCAAAGAGCATTGTCACAGAGTTTGAATCTGAAACATCGTCAGTGACTTGGGCTTTCGGGGTCAAGTTAGTGTGGCCTTGGACTCTGCTTCTCCTCTTACAAGTGACTATCACTGGGTTGGTGCAAGGTCAGGTTCAGCCCTGAATGTGGAGTGGGAGAGGCAGGAAAAGAGGCAGGAAAAGAGGCAGGAAAGAGGAAGGGAGGGCCAGAGTACGTTGAGCCAGCTAGCTAGGGGAATTAAAAATTTTCTAGAAACTCCTGGTGTGGTCAGTTTTGGACGCTTGTCTGGAACTGTAACAGCAGGATGTTGTAACCTAAGTGAATGGTGGCGTATCCTGGGTCAAAATTCACTTAATTACTCTGGGCTCCAGTGTCCTTATCTCTGGAGAGTGGGTCACTCTGACCTCCTGGTTTTGTTCTCAGCTTTGAAGCAAAGCACTAGAGCAACACCTGGCTTGCAGCAAGCGAATCATAAACTATGCTAGCTGCGATTATTATGGTGGTGGTGGCTCTTTTCCTTCTCATTTCTGTGCCCCTGACATTTCACCTGAGCAGGGATTGATCGTGAAAATTCATAGAACTACTAAGAGGCCTTAGAAGATACTGTCTTCCTTCATGCACAGTTCACCTTTGTTTCTGGATGTGGCCAGGGACCTGGCAATGCTGGATTGGCTTAACTCACTTTCAGGGATTGAGCTGATGGTGGGCTGGTCTATCGCTGGTTCATTCTTTTCAAGATTATTTTTAGAGAGAGGGGAAGGGAAAAGGAAAGAGAGGAAGAGAGATAACATTAATTAGTTGCATCTCCCATACACCCCCAACTCGGGGACCTGGCCTGCAACCTAGGCATGTGCCCTGGCTGAGAATTGAACTGGCGGCCTTTAAGTTTGCAGGACGATGTTCGATCCCCTGAGCCAGGTCAGCCAGGGCCTGCTGGTTTATTCTTAATTCCTTGGAAATGGCCCTTAGATGTCCCCACCTGTGGGGCTGGCTGAGCGAGCCTTGGACTCAGATTTTTGGCCCCCTGCCTCCCTGCGCTGACGGAGGCTCTTCCAGCTGTCCTCGGAATTGGCAGATGGCTCTGGGAGAACCCAGGCCTGGGTTTCCTCCTCCTGGATTTTGCCTTTGGGATCCTTCCCTGTGTTGTTAACTCTGCACTGTCTTTCAGCAGAGTCCCCCTTCTCCCCCGACCCCCGATATTTTGTCTGCGTTTCTGGTTGTTTGCAGTGGGAGGGTTGGTGAGAGTGGCCTCACCAGCCTTTGCTGAAGCAGCTGTCCCAGCTTGTTCTGTCTCTGTGAGCCCAGCTGCCTGGCAGCCTCCTGGCCTCAGTTTCATCCCCTGTAAAATGGGTGCTAGGAAAACTCATAGTCCTGCAAGCTGACTCGAATCCAGGCACTGTGCTGAGGACTTCGTATGTTTTAGTTAATCCTCCTGAGGGCTCTGTGAGGTGGAAACAGTTGTATCTGTTTGGTGGCCAAGGAGGCAGTAGGTGAGAGACCACTGGACGCGGGGAACCGGGCCTGCACCCCTGGCCTGACCGGCCCCAAATCCCGTACTAGTTACTAACTTCTTTGCAGTACTGCCTCCCTCAAAGGACAAAGAGGGTGGTGAAAATGAGAGTCCTTTAAAAAGCTACAAGCAGGCAAGACCAGAGGTGGCGGAAACACCTGTTGGGAGGTCCAAGTGTTGGATACTGGTGGGGGCTGGGCTGAGGTCTGTCTCACCCTGGTTTGTTTTCCCTGCAGGCCAAGCTGAAGCATAAACTGACTGTCATATACGGTCAGATCAACGGTGCGTCGAGAGCGCTGGAGGATGTGAGAGCCAGGCAGCAGGATGTGCGGGTGAGTGGCAGGGCACTTCCTAGCGCATCGTAACTGGGACCAGCCACATCTCAAGGGCTCGGTAACCATGTGTAGCAAGTGGCTGCGTGCATATTGGACAGTGCAGTTCCCACGGATGCTATTCTCTAGAAGTTTTCTAGAGCAGCTTCATACCCTTTCTTAAAAAAAAACCAACAACCCATGAACTGCCTCCCAGCTTAAGAAAAAAAAATCACCAATGCAGATGAAACCCTCACTCTACTCCCCTCCCTTTTTATATCTCCCCTTTTTTTTTTCTTCCAGAAGTAACTGCTTTCCTGAATGGGTTCACTTATTTCCCTGAGTTTCTCTCTACTTCTGTTATGTACGTGTGCCTCCCTTTAGCCATAAACACGACCATTCTCTCTGTGCCAAAGCCTTACATAAATGGTGTCAACACTGTGTGTCTCCTACAGGTTGTTTTTCCCTGGGACTTAACCGTGCGTCACCCCCCCTCCCCCGCTCCTTAATTTTCATCGCTGTCTAATATTCCACCCTATGAATATGCAGTCTGTGTATGCAGTCTCCTGTGTGCAGGGTTTTGCTAATTCGGGCAGTGTTGCTTGTGAGCATTCTTGTGGGTGTCTCTGGGACAGGTGTCTGAGGATTTTTCTGGGGTACGTTCCTGGAGTTGAGTTGTTGGGTCCCAGGGTGGGAGCACCCTCGAATTTACTAGGTGTTGCCAGACTGGTCTCCGAGGCGGTCATGTCGCTTTGTGCTCTGCATCTCGGCAGTGCTTGGTCCCACGGGCTTTGCCTTGGGCCCGTCTGATGGGTGCCCTCTTGTCTCGGCTTCCTAGGAGGCTGCCCAAAGGAAGATGGAGCACCTTAGACAAGAGTACTTGGAGATGAAGGCTCTCGTGGACGCCTCCGAGGCCAGCTCCACACAAAAGATAAAGGAAGAGGAGAAGCGGGTCAGCAGCAAGTTCGACACCATTTACCAGATCCTCCTCAAGAAGAAGAGCGAGATCCAGACTGTGAAGGAGGAGATTGAACTTGCCCTGAAGAAGGGGGACGAGTTTGAGTTTCTGGAGGTGGGTTTTTTTCTTAAAGATTTTGTTTACTTATTTTTAGAGAGAGAGGGGAAGGGAGGGAGGGGGGAAGGGAGAGAGAGAAACGTTGATGTGCAAGAGAAGCATTGATGTGCATTGATGGGCTGCCCCTTGTATGCGCCCCAACTGCAGACCAGTCCCGCAACCCGGGCATGTGCCTTGACCGGGAATCGAGCTGCCAGCCTTTTGCTTTGTGGGATGGTGCCCAGCCAATTGAGCCTCACCAGTCAGGGCTGGAGGTGGGTCTTGATGAGGACATTGTTGAACACACTTCCCTCTTGAGCATGATGCTGTTGATATAGGGGAACAGGGCCTCAAGGAGTGGGGTCTGCGAGAGGTCATTGAAAGCATCCCTGAGTCACACACTGTTTGTTTTTTATATATTATGACAGCTTATCACAAATGTAGTGGCTTAGCACATACATTTCCTGTTTGGCAGCTTCTGTGGCGCAGGCGTCTGGGCATGGCTCGGGGGGGCGGGGTGCCATCTTGGGGCCTCTCACAGGTCGCGGTCCGAGTGCTGGTGGGGCTGCCTTCCCAGCTCACTCGGTTGTTGGTGAGACCCAGTGCCTCGCGGTGCAGCACCAAGGCCCCCCTCCCTGCTGGCCGTCCACTCTCAGTTCCTAGAGGTTGCGGCAGCACCTCGCCCTGTGGCCCCCTACTGACGTGGCAGCTCACGCCTTCCAAGCCAGCGGGGGTTTTCTCCGGGAAGGCCCAGCCTCTCTTTTCAGGGCTTTTACCTGGTTAGCTCTGGTCCACACAGGACACCCATCTTTTTTTTTTTTAATTGATTATGCTGTTACAGTTGTTCTATTCCCCCTTTATTCCCCTCCACCCTACCCCCCATCCCCACCATCACCCCCCCTTTAGTTTATGACCATGTGTCTCAAGTCCTTTAGATTCTATATTTCCCATGCTATTCTTGCCCCCCCCATCTATTTTCTATCTACTGTCTATGCTACTTATTTTCTGTACCTTCTCCCCCCCTTCTCCTCCTCCCACTCCCCTGTTGCTAACCCTCCTTGAGATCTTCATTTCTATGTTTCCACTCCTGATCTAGCTGTCCTTTTAGTTTGCTTTTGTTTTAGGTGTGGTTGTTAATAACTGTGAGTTTGTTGTCCTTTCACTGTTCATGTTTCTTTAACTTCTTTTTCTTCGATAAGTCCCTTTAACATTTCATATAATAAGGGCTTGGCGATGATGAACTCCTTGAATTTGATCTTATCTGAGAAGCACCTTATCTGTCCTTCCATTTTAAATGAAAGTTTTGCTGGATAGAGCAATCTTGGTTGTAGGCCTTTGGATTTCATGACTTGGAATACTTCTTTCCAGCCCCTTCTTGCCTGTAAGGTCTCTTTTGAGAAATCCGCTGACAGTCTGATGGGGACTCCTTTGTAGGTGACTGTCCCCTTAGCTCTTGCTGCTTCTAGGATTCTCTCCTTCATTTTAATCTTGGCTAATGTAATTACGATGTGCCTTGGTGTGTTTCTTCTTGGGTCCAACTTCTTTGGAAGTCCAACTGAGCTTCCTGGATTTCCTGGAAGTCTATTTCCTTTGCCAGATTGGGGAAATTCTCCTTTATTATTTGTTCAAATGCGTTTTCCACTGGTGGCTGTGCCTTTCCCCCTTCTGGTACCCCTATAATTCGGATGTTGGAGCGTTTAAAGATGTCCTGGAGGTTCCTAAGACTCTCCTCATTTCTTTGAATTCTTGCTTCTTGACTCTTTTCTGTTTGGCCATTATTTGCTTTCTTCTGGTCCACTCCATTGATTTGAGTCCCAGTTTCCTTTTCATTGCTATTGGTGCCCTGTGCAATTCCATTCATTTCAATTAGTTTCGCCTTCATATATTTGTCTAATTTGTGGCTATAATCAACCAGTTCTGTGAGGATCCTGATCACCAATGTGCGTCTGTGAGTTTTGCTATTTCTTCATCGCTTAGATTTATTGGCTCTGGGGCTCTGAGATCCTCCTGCGCCATTCTTGGTCTGTTCGGGCCCTTTAAGTGTGAGAAGCGGCGCCTTGGATTCCCAGGTCGCTTGGTTGTGACGCTGTATGTGGGGGCGTGGCCAGAGCGGGGAAATGGCGACCCCCTCTGCCGCTTCTCACAGCTGGGTGCGGAGGAGCAGTGCCTTAGGTGGTTCACCTGGGCCGGCCGCTCAGAGTCGCTGGGTTATGACGCTGTATGTGGAGGTGGGGTCAGAGCAGGGAAATGGCGGCGCCCTCCACTGCCGCTTGCCGTGGGGACCTGCCGGCCCGGTCCAACCGCCCACTCCCTCGCCTGTCCACCCTCGCACAAATGCGCGACCTCAGTCAACACGCAGCCCCGGGCCCGGCTGTCTCCTCCGAGGTCGCTCGCCTGGTTGCTTGCTGGGTCGCTCACTAGGTCTGACCCTGCGCCTGGATTCCGCGGGCCTGAGTGTGTCTGGCCAGAGTCCTCCTGTGCAACCCTGCTCCGCCAGCCACTGGTTTCGCCCCTTACCGGTCAGGCTGAAGAATTTGTTGTTAACGGACTTCCGAAAAGTTCAATTTTCTGTGTTCTGGCTGTGTTTTCTGTTGCTAATATTTAGTTTTCTCTAATCTTGGTTGTGTGAGAAGGCACGGCACATCCACCTATGCCTCCATCTTGGCGGAAGTCCAGGACACCCATCTTTTTGATGAACTCAAAATCAATAAATTTGGGATCTTAACTGAATCTGAAAAATTTCTTCCGTTTTGCCATGTAATGTGTCCTAACGGCTGGAGTGACATCCTGTCACATCCACCGTCCTGCTTAGTCTCAAGGGAGGGGATTATGTAGGATGTGTACCCTGGGGGGGGGGTGGGAGTCTCGGGGCTGTGGTAGGATGTTGCCCGCTGCACACACCTGTGCTCTTGTCCCCATCCCTGCTTCTCACTGCCCCTGGAAGTGTCTTTCTAAAAGCACGGGCCCGCCTCCCCGCCCCCGCCCTTCCTGACCTCACACCCTTAGCATGGCCCACAGGCCTGTGATGACCGGGCCGGCCTTTGCCAGCAGCCTCCTGTCTCGCCACCCACCCCCAGCCCATAGTCCGTGCTTTGACCCCGGCAGAGCACTCGCCGGGCCCCCGGGCACACCGGGCATTGGATGGGAATGTCGCGGCTGACTTGCTCTGCCTACTGACTCCGGGTCCTTTGCCAGGGTAACCCCAGTTTCCCCATCTCCCCTAAATCCCAGGAGTTTGCCCTTATTGACAGTCCAGGGCCTGTGTCACTGCCACTGCTGAAGCACTTGATGGCACTGTGTTAGGTGTGCTTGTTTTCTTTCTTTTTCAAAGATTTTATTTGGTTTAGAGAGAAGGGAAGAAAGGGAGCGAGCGGCAGAAACATTTATGTGTAAGAGATACATAGATCGGGTGCCTCTCACACGCCCCCAACTGAGGACCTAGCCTGCAAACCAGGCATGTGCCCTGACTGGGAATCGAACTGGTGACCTCTTGGTTCACAGACCGGCACTCAATCCACTGAGCCACACCAGCCAGGGCAGGTGTACTTGTTTTCATGTTTGTTTGGGCAGTCAGCTCCTTTTGAGTGTGGCCCATCCTTTATGACCAACAACCCTGGCATGTCCAGCACCTAACAGAGTGCCTGGCACGCAGTGGATGTTCCAGGGAGCCCATGGACTGGGTGACGTGCTGTGACCCCTCAAAGGCCCATACTCCCTGTTCAGGTCCTGGGGGGAGTACAGGTGTGACTGGGCGGTCCATCCTAGGCTGGATGGCATTAACTTTCTTCTCATAGGCTCATTCCTGCTTGTTGGGGTAGCTGCCTCAAGCTCTCAGAACGATTCTAAGTCTACAGCTGTGTGACCCGATTTGTGCCTCAAAGTTTGGGACGTCCTTGAGACCCTTCGTTTTCATTGGACGTGCCCCTCGCTGAGTCCTGCACCATTGAGACTCCCCTGTCCTTATCCAGACCGTGTGTTCAGAGTTGGTCCTCGAGGGATGCGCTGGTTCTGCGTCTCCTGTACTTCTCTGCCACCATTGGAGGAGCAAAAAGAGCATTATTCATGAGGCCCCAGCTTTGTTCTTGCCACGAATTGGCAGAGTTCCTGGCAGATCACTTGTCCTTTCTAGACTTTAATTTCCCCGTCTGTCAGGGGAGCGACCTCTGAGGGTCCTTCGAGTTCCAGATTGCTGCTTTAAAGTATCACTTTTACCCCCAGTGGCCTCTGGCCTGTGATTGAGAAGGCTGATCGGACTGCCCACCTGCAGACACAGGGAAGCTCCCCCTGGGGTTCATGAGGCCCAAACCCAGGCCCTGGCTTCCTGGAGCTGCCTGCACTAACCCCTTGGCTTGTTCCAGAAAGGGGCAAAACTGCAATCAATCTCAACGAAGCCAGTCTACATCCCCAAGGTGGAGCTGAACCATGAGCTGATCAAGAGCATCTGCCAGAGCACCTCAGATGTCAAAGCCGAGCTGAAGCGGTGCCTCCGACAGGCCCAGGACAAGGAGCCCTCCGACTCGGGTAACATTAGCAACCCGCCTCCATGTCCCCGCACTGGGACCCTTGAATCTGGGTGGGTCCCCTTAGCGTTATGGAGTGCAAGCCTGGATCCTGAGTTTCAGAGGCCCCGACACATCTGCCCTCCATTCGGAGGTGCTGGGGAGTCTCTGCTTCGTGTCTTGGGTTGGCCATTTTTTCAGGTCCCATGGGATCTTGAGGCTGACTGGGATGGGTTTTGAATGGACTGTGGATTGTCTGTATTTGATGGGGGAATGGCTAGTTTGGGGGTCCGAGAAACCTAGAATTCCTCCTGACATCCCCTCTTTTTTCCCCCACGTCCAAATGTCTTCTGACTCAGTCTGCCTGCCCCACCGCCATCTACCACCCGCCTGACTGACCTCCATTGCCGCCAGTGGTTGGCGGCTTCCCAAATAGACTGTTTGCCTCTATTCCCGCTGTAGTGAGCAAGAGCTTTTTTGGATGCAAACCTGATGTCCTGGAGCCTTCCCTCCTCACCTCCCTCAGGGGTTTCCATTGCTTCTAGATCCCAGACTAGACTCTTGACCCTCTTGGCCTACAGGCCCCTGCCTGGTCAGCCCTGTCTCTCCAGCTCCCTCCTTTGGTGTATCTCTGTGTTCCGTTCCTCAAGTACGCTAAGCTTCCTGCCACTGGGCCTTTGTACATGCTCTTGCCACTGCCAAGAAGGCTTAGCACCCACCACCTTCACCAATTAACTCCTCTCACCCTTTGGAAATCAGTCAAAACATTGCATTGCTCAGCACACCTCCCTGTCACCATTCCCACTCCTCAGACTGGGTCCTGGGATCCTCCTCATCCTTTGGGACCCTTTGCATGTCTATCCTTTTTTTCTTCCTGGCCATTCCCAGCCGTCTTCTTACCAGACTCTGGTCTTGGTGCAGGCAGGGCTGGGTCTGATTTCATCCACCACTCTCTGCCCAGGGCCTAGCTCAGAGCCTGGCTCAGTGCACATCTTGGCTGTATAACCTGGGGGTGGGTTTGAGTTTCAGCTTGGCCAGCCAGGAATCTCTGCAGCAGGGCCTCTGAAACAGGCGTGGCTCGGCCCCACACAAGAGGGCAAAGCTGGTGAATTCACTACCCTGCTACCTCAGTGGCCCCCCATCTGGGGCTGCGAGGTGTGAGGGAAGGCCCGGAGGGGAGGAGCTCCCACACACCCGTCTCACAACTCCGAGCAAGGGCCTCACCCCCATTGGCTGCTGGAAGAAATGGAAGCTGAGAGAGGGTTAGGAGGTCAAGGAGTTGACCCCATCCTGGGGTGCTGCTCTTGCAGTGATGGGCCGGTGAGAGGGGACGGAGTGGGTGGGATGTGCGCACGGCCGTCTTTGTAAAGCCGCTGCCTGCCTGCCTGCGGCGAAGCTGGCTCCTGGTGTGGCTCAGAGGAGCCACACAAACAAACCCTTTCTTCTTCGGCACAGGGGACCCTGCAGAGCATGTCACGCAGCCCACGCCAAAACCCTCACGCCCTGGGAAGAAGGTCCTGAGTAAGTAACCCTACGTCCCTGTGGCAGTGTTGGGCTCTGGCCCCAACACTTGCACCTGTCGCTGCTCCTTCCAGGTGGGCACAGCCCCCTCCCAAGTCACTGCACTCCCAGAGTGGAAGTTGAAGGGGCTGTGGCAGGAGCTCTGCTGGGTCACCTGTGTGAGCTGGCCCTGAGTGGGAGCTAGTCGAGCTGCCTGGAACAGCAGGGTTACCAAAGCTGGTTTGTCTTGGGAAACATGTCCTGACACCCACGTTCTGACACTTGGGTGGAGCCCCCTGGAGGAGACTGGCAGAGGTGCTGGAGAAGCAGGAACTAATAAGCCTCGCTCAGCTGTCCTGTGTCTGTGCTGTCACGGGGCTTCCCAACCATTTTTACATCATTGACCTCCTCGCCCATCACCCCAGCCATTTAGAAAACGTTTCTCCTGTTGCTTCCACACAGAAACAGTGTATTTGTTTCTATACTGGCTTTTTATACATAAAAAGAGTGAGATTTTTGATGGGAGCTGCGGGAGGGATAGCCCTCAGTGCCCCCCTCTGTCAGATTGGGACTAGAAGGACACCGACCTCGCAGGATTTCGACGATGAGGGAGGGTCACACGGCACACAGGTGGAGAAAGCTCTTTCAAGGCCTGAACTTTGCCACTGAGCTGTTGGCTGTGTGTCTCCCTGAAAAGTCGGCAGGAACTGTGGAGTGGTGCCCACGCCCCTGGGTGGCTGTGGGTGAGAGAACTTCAGTTTGTGGGTCGTTCGCTCAGTTTTAGTGTTTAGGTTGTTTGTGGCGGGCAGAGGTTTGGAGCTCATCCCTGCATGGAGCAGAGTCGGGGAGTTGGTGGGCCTGGTGCAGCTGAGGGAGGAGCCCCCAGCTAAGCTGGAACATGTGGGAGCACCCTTGGTGTGAAAAGGGAAGTGAAAGTGGGTAAAAAGGGGCTGTTGGCCTGGATCCTTCCTGAGTCGCCCTCCTCCTGTAAGTTTGCTCACTGCTGCCCCCCCCCCCCCCATCACAAGGTCCACTCTCAGCACGAGCGAACCATGGGTGCAGCTGTCGGGCTGAGGTTTGGGAGCAGGCAAGGAGGGGCAGGCTGGTCACTGTGTAAATGGGGCTCCTAAGAATTGTGGTGACCAGGGAGGGGGTCCTGTGACCTTGGCTGGCCATGGGTCCTCCCAAGATTGCTGGTCCAGTGGGTCAGTGACTGCGGGCGGGAGAGGAGTGGAAGGTGAGGAAATGGGGTGGGGAGCGAAGACAACTCCTGAGGAATCTGAACCTGAGGGGCAGGAAGAGTGAGCCGGTGCAGCTGAAGGAGCTCTGGGGTGGGCCCCGAGAATTTGCGTTTCTTACGGGTGATGCTGCCGCTGCTGGGTTTTTTTTTTAAAACAGAACATGATTATATTTCAACACACAACTTTTTATTACCACCAAAAAATAAAACAGCGCAGTAAAATAACAAAAGCATAATATTTCATTTGGAAGGCGTGAGAAATGGTTAACATCTCAGGCATAAACAAGCTCTTCAGAAGCCAGTTTCAGAGACACTAATGAACCGAGCGAAACTAGCAGCACCCAATGAAACTAGGTGCTGCTAGTTTCAGGCCAGCAGTTTGAGAAGCACCGTTTCAGCAGAGGCAGTTTCCAGGGGCACACACTCCAGACAGTTCTTACGGACTGTTGCGCTGCTGGGTCGGCACACGGTTGCTGCTGACTCTATTGTTTTTTTTAATTTTTAATTTTCCCTCTTTTGCAGATAGCATTTACCTCTAGTAAAATGCACAGATCTTAAATGTACAGTGTGATAACATTTTTAAAAAGATTATTCATTTTTACAGAGGGAGAAGGGAAGGAGAAAGATAGGGAGAGAAACATCAGTGTGAGAGAGAATTATCTATTGGTTGCCTCGGGTACGGGTCCTGACCAGGGACCGAATCTGCAACCTAGGCCCGTGCCTTGACCAGGAATTGAACTGGTAACCTCTCGCTTTGCAGAATGATGCCCAACTGAGCCACACTGGACAGGACCAGTTAGGTCAAATTTTTAAAAAATATTTTATTTATTTATTATTAGAGGGCGGAAGGGAGGAAGAAAGAGAAGGAGAAAAACATTGATGTGTGCGAGAAACATTGATCACTTGCCTCTCTCAACTGGGGACCTGGCCCACAACCCAGGCATGTGCCCTGGCAGAGAATTGAGCTGGTGATCTTCCAGTTCACGGGCTGGCACTCAATCCACTGAGCCACACTGGCCAGGGCTAGTTAGATAAATTTTGACAAGTGCATACATATGTGTTACCATTACCCGCATCAAGATACAGAATTTCCATTACCCCAGAGAATTCCATCACGTTCCTTATTAGTCAGTCCCTCCCGGACCCCACCAGTCACAGACGGGGGCTTTGTCACCATAGAGCTATTTGCCTGCTGACCCCTTGTCTTTTTCGAGTTAAGGAATTCTGGCTTTATTGGTACAGGTCACATTCATGCAAATGATTGTTACTGTGGTCTTTTGAAAGTGTCATTGTGTTGTGATTTACAGTATCTTAATTCTGGAACTTTTTTCCTTTTCAGAGGAAGAAAAGAAACCCAAGAAACTTCGTAAGTTGTGCATTTCTGCTCTTTTTGTTCCTTGGGACTGCCTGAGTGCGGTGGACAGTGACCTGTCACATCAGGGCTCTGTGATAGGGCCTCAGTTCTAGGGGTGTGTTCTGGAGCAGCAAGCAGGCCTGAGGGTGAAGATGAGGACAAGGGTCAGTGAATAAGCTGGGTAGGATGAGCATAGCACTGTCTGACTCACCTGTGTTGCCCTGGCTGTCCAGGCGTGTGTCTGCAGAAGGCACTCTTGAAAATCGGCTTGGGAGGGAGTAAGTAGAGGCCATAAGGTCAATTCGTGTCATGTCCCCAGCACATGTCCTCTTTCCTCGTTCCAGCCACCACCAGTGTGTCACCCAGCAAGCTTCCCACCTTTGGAACCCTGGAACAGTTAGGCCTGGATTTAAAACAAGCTGGCTTGGAGGGTGAGTTATTGTGGGCGAGGGGCAGTAGGGTGTCCACTCTGAGTTTGTTCTGAAAACGGCTCTCTGTTTCCTCACCCAGCTGCAGCCAAACCCACCAACTTGCAGCCAAACTCGGCATCGCTTCAGGCCAAGGTGCTGGAGAACTTCTTAGCCAAGTCCAGACCAGAGCTCCTGGAGTGTGAGTAGCGCCGGCAGCCAGCAGCTGTTGCCGAAATGCCACTGCTCCCACTGGCAGCTCTCTCACTCGGGTTTTCTGGTTGACTCCCTGCCATTGCAGAACCTTTCTGCATGCCATAACTTTCATCTTCTCCCTGTCCCACCCAGTCTCTGCTGTGCACAGAGAAGAGACGCTCCAGAAAGGCACGCACTCACCCTCTCCTGGTCCTCTCACCTGACTCTATGCCCTCTCTCTGCTTCCTTTCCTCTGGTTCCCCAAGGCCAGTTCCTTGGCTAGAGCTCTGGATCTTACCCCTCTTACTCTCTCTGGAATCTTGTGTTCTCAGTTAGGCCTTAGTTATGGATGGATGGGTGGATGGATGGGTGGGTGGATGGATAGATGGATGGATGGATGGATGGGTGGGTGGATGGATGGATGGATGGGTGGATGGATAGATGGATGGATGGGTGGGTGGGTGGATGGATGGGTGGATGGATGGATGGATGGATGGATGGATGGGTGGGTGGATGGATGGATGGATGGATGGGTGGGTTGGTGGATGGATAGATGGATGGGTGGGTGGATGGATAGATGGATAGATGGATGGATGGATGGATGGATAGATGGATGGGTGGGTGGATGGATGGATGGATGGATAGATGGATGGGTGGGTGGATGGATGGATGGATGGATGGGTGGGTGGGTGGATGGATGGATGGATAGATGGATGGGTAGGTGGATGGATGGATGGATAGATGGATGGATGGATAGATGGATGGGTGGGTGGATGGATGGGTGGGTGGCTTCGTGGATGAATGCATGAATGGATGGATGGACAGATGCATGGGAGGAGGATGGACTGATGGATGGGTGGATGCACATGTGGACACACAGGTAACCAGATGGATGGATGGGTAGATGGATGGATTGGGGAGAATGGATAAAACAAATGAATAATATACCAGTTGAGGAAAGGTTTAAAAGTAAGAGCACCTTGGGCTCCTTGTAACTGATCTCTCGGCTGTTTTAGATGCCGTGAAAGTCATCCTGGACTACAACACTGCCCACAGCAAGGTGGTTCTATCGGAGAACTACACTGTGGCTTCCGTGGCTGACACGCACCAGAGCTACCGGCCGCATCCCCAGAGGTTCACGTACTGTTCTCAGGTGCTGGGCCTGCACTGCTACAAGAAAGGGATCCACTACTGGGAGGTGGAGCTGCAGAAGAACAACTTCTGTGGCATGGGCGTCTGCTACGGCAGCATGGCAAGGCAGGGCCCTGAGAGCCGGCTCGGCCGCAACAGCGCCTCCTGGTGCGTGGAGTGGTTCAACACCAAGATCTCTGCCTGGCACAACAACGTGGAGAAAACCCTGCCCACCACCAAGGCCACGCGCGTGGGTGTGCTTCTCAACTGCGACCATGGTTTCGTCATTTTCTTTGCCGTCGCTGGCGACAAGGTGCACGTGATGTATAAGTACAAGGAGGACTTTACCGAAGCTCTGTACCCAGCCTTCTGGGTGTTCTCCACGGGTGCCACGCTCTCCGTCTGCTCCAGCAAGTAGGCAGGCCAGGGACACTCCGGCCGACTGCCTGTGGAGCCCCCGGGACGCTGGTGAAATTGCTGTAGGGGACTGTCTCGGAGTTCTTCTCTGAGAGTCCCCAGGGGGTGGCAGGGTGGGAGGGGAGCTGATGGAAGGGGAGAGGGTGGGCAGATGGGACAAGGGGCGCACTTTGCTGGGGAAGGGCGGGACGGGGGGCGGTGATTGTACTGTGGACAGGGAAGCGTTCCCATCTCTTGTTACCCATCAAAGTAGGAGAGGCCTCTCCGCTTGCTCTGGTAGGTCCTTGGGCTGCCGGGCGGCTGGGTAAGGCTCTGTGGGTACAGTGATTAGCGCCCTTTCCTCTGGGAGAAAATCACTAGTCACTAAAGGTTCTTTCTCAGGCCATTTGGTGTGCGCCTCTGCGCTCTTCTGATCTTGGTGTTTTGATTACTCTCTGCAGGGCTGTTCAGCTCTGTAGACCAGCAGTTTTCAACCAGGGCACACGTAGACTAATTACTGAGGTTCCGTGGCACACTGGTTGAACGTTGCTGCTACAGATTTGTTGTTCTGTGCATTCGTGCATCCATTGGTTGGTTCCTGTCTGTACCCTGACCAAGAATCAAACCCTCCACCGTGATATATCGGGGTGATGCTCTAACCACCGGAACTACCCAGCCACAGCTGCTGCTGTAGATTTAGAAAAAAAAATTGCAAGCTGTTGAGTTTCAATATTACTCCCCTGCCCTCCATGCCGGTTCCCACATGTGAGGATTTGGGGAAGAATGCTCAGATTTCCAGTTATTTTCTGTGCTCGAGGGCAACCACCCAAGGCAGGTCTCCACCAAGACCAGAGTTTCCCAAGGAAGTTGGTCCTCTTCCTCCACCAGAAGATAGCCTCTCGTCCTTTCTGTCTTCATCACCCCAGTGAGAATGTTACAATGTTTAATCCAACAGGACCTTTTTCTGTCTCCAGCTTCAAACCATGGTCTGAATCAGCCTATGCTGAATTTCTGATTCAAGGTTAAGGTGACCGAGGTCCTATGTGAACAGAAACCCCTCTCGCTCCTGAATATTAGGAAAGGCATCTCAAGAGAGATGCTTTGCCTGCAGCCACAGAACCTTGCTGGAGGCTTCTTCCCATAGCCTAGGCTTTGGGGCAGGGGACCCTGCTGGGCAGGGGATCCTGACCAGGGCTGCCGTGAGTATGGTGGTTTTGCTCCTGTTAGAGTGTCTTGCCTTCTTATTGGCAACTCTTTGCAGAGACAGCTGCCTCTCCCCAGGTCTGTGGGAGGCTGGGTTGGCTGGAGTGGACCCTATTCCGATCGGCACACTTGAGCGGGTAGCTGATCCCTCATATCGGAACCCTGGTGTCATGAGACAGGTTGTGTGTGGCTGTCTCAGGGACCATACTGGGTCACCTGCTGGCGTGACTGCCTACAGCCAAAAGGACCTCCTAGCAGATGCTGTGGGAACACAGCCACATTCCCGTTCGTCCCCGCCGCAGGCTGCAGACACGCCGCTGGCTCTTGCCTGTGTCAGAGGCCTGTTGCTGGTCCCTTTTGCTGTCTTCTTCGTTTGAGCCAATTCCAGGTGCCGGGATCGACCAGATGAGGGGTCAGGAAGACTTTTAAGGATTAGTGAAGGAACGAGCTATGAATACTCTAGGACAAGGAGCTATTTTTGCTGCCGTGTTTCTGCACAGTGAAAATAACCCTGGTCCACAAAGGGGCGGGAGTGAATGGACAGCTGGAGTTTCCTCAGTTCACTGGGTCCTGGTGTCAGGATGTAAGGGGAAGAAATTTCACCTCTTGCAGTGAAATGAGTCCTGCTCTGGGTTTGCCCCAAAGAGGAGCTCAGGCCAGGCTCCTTGTGGTTTGGAAAAGCGGCCACCACTGGGGAGGTGGGGAACTCCAGACCTTATTTAAAGCATGCCTGGCTTTGTGGTGGAATTTGAGGACCCTCTGGCCTGGCCCGGAGCATGTCATCCTCCTGACAGACGTGTTGATCTGTGCCATCTCCCAACAAGGACTCTCACTTTCTTGGCGGGGAGAGGCCATGTCTATCGGGAAGATCCTCCTGCAATAGTTGAAGTATGGTTTTTAAACATCTTCTTACCTTGCTGCTGGGAAGAAAAGTTCTCTGGTGATTCTTCTCTGCTTTTGGAGATGGCCAAAAGCATCTTCATTGACCTTCTGAAACAAGAGCCTTGTCTGAAGCCAAGGGCTGCTTGAGAAACAGCTGGGCTTAGAGGAGAACACCGAGGCAGGACCCAGGGGTGCTCCTGTGGCTCTTCTGCATAAACGAAGGTGACAGAGCAGGCCCTCCCCTGGTGATCTACAGCTCAGGAGAGGGCGGCACAAGTCCCTCTGTTTATAAGAGAGGCAAGTAGGTAACCTGTGCAAGGTGCTTTAGAGATGCAGACTGAGGCGCACAGCCTTGTCTCCTCCGCCTTACGTTCTCTTGCCTTGCTGGGCTGCTGCTGCCCGACCTGGAGTCCCAGGGTTGGAGGGGCCTTCGTGTTCATCTGACTTCTCGCTCTGCAGGGGAAGTCGAATGGGGAGGTGTGGATGGCTTGCTTGCCACTCTTGCCAGCCCATCGCGGAGGAGATGCCTCCTACATGCCTCCCGCATGCCCCCTGCTGCCCTGGAGAAGTGTCAGAAATTCCCAGAAACGCAAACACAGAAATACCAATCCCAGACCTGGGTATCCGGGCCTGTCTCAGTCAGTCTGGCGCAATAAAGCCAAGACCGGGGTCAAGTTTTTGTGTTACTCAACACTGGTTGGCTGGTTTCTCCTGTTTGCATGATCTCCTGTCTGTAATGGATTTGTGATCTATAACTGATGTGATATCCCTCACCTTGTTCTGCCCCCCATTGATTTTAATTAATTGGAGCTGTTATTTGTTCAGCTGATTTACTTTAGAGTTGATTCTCTAGGAGATAATCAGGGCTGAAGACAAGGATCTTTGGAAACCTGTGAGAAATACGAGTACCAAAGCTGGCTGACTCGCCTTAGAGGCTTAGCATGTAGTAAAACAGTGTTTGGTATTCTTTCTTGCATCTCAGGACCTATGGACAGTGTTACTGACCTATCACGCTGGGGTGAGCGAAGGAGGTGCCCAGGGGCCCCTGGGCACTCAGGCCCCACCCAGCTGCTTCCAGGAGTTGAGACTTCAGCAGAATCTAGAGCCCATTTGAGTCTGGCCATGGGCAAGGATTCTCGATAAAGAATTCTCAGACTGATAGGATGTCCCTCTGGGCTTTGCTTTGGGATCATCCAAAGATGGGTGGTGGGAGAAGGGGCGGGGTGTGAATGAGAGGGTGAGCAGGTGATCTGTGGAACAGTGAGGGGATGCAAGAGTTCACTGACATGCCCTTTCTTCTGTTGCATGTTTCAAAAAGTTCCACGGTAAGAAATTTTAAAATGAAACAAAGCATAGTCCGGCCCGAGATGGGCCCTGGAGGGTGGATTCCATCATTGTCTGCATTGGGTAGGGGTGTGGGTGTGAAGTGGTTACATCGGGTCGTCCCCCCTGGTCTGTGCGGAGTGTGTTCCACCACCTTTGTGGACTCGAAACCAAGGGTAGTACCAAACCTAATGGATACTATGTTTCTTCCTATACATACATGCTTATGATAAAGTTTAACTAATAAAAGTAGGCACAGTAAGAGGTTAGCAATAATAACTAATGATAAAATAGAACAGCTATAATAATATATGGTAATGAAAGTTATGTAAATGTGCTCTCTTTCTCTGAAAATATCCGATAATGGCCCTGGCTAGTGTGTCTCAGTGGCTGAGTGCCAGACTATGAAGCAAAGGGTCGCTGGTTTGATTCCCAGTCAGGGCACACGCCTGGATTGCAGGCCAGTTCCCTAGTTTGGGGCGCGTGAGAGGCAAGTGATCAACAAAGAATTGGACTGACCTTTGGTTCCCAGAGGGGTGATTCTAAATCCAGGGCATCGCCTCAATAAGAGGTGCATCGTTGTACTTCACGAGTCCCTTGCACCCCACCTGAGTCCGTGCTCCGGGTTGAGATGACCTGGGATGGGGGCGGGTCATTAGAAAGACCAACCATGGGACTGGAGGTTGGGACTGTGAGCCAGACTGACCTCCAGGACGTGAGAGGGGCTAGAGGTTGGTTCAGTCAGTTACGTCTTTGTAATGACCCCCAACCCCCCCCCCCCCCCAAAAAACCCCCTCTGGACACCGCAGCCCTGCTGAACACAGTGATGTGCCAGGAGGGCGGTGTGCCCTGGCGCCACAGGGCAGGGGCGGAGGCTCTGCCTCTGGGTCCCTCCGACACTTCGCTCCGTGTGTCTCTTCAGCTGGCAGGTGTTGATCTGCATCCTGTACAGGAAAACTGTAATCACAATTGTACTACTTCCCTGAGTCCTGTGAGTTCTCGTGAATTGTTGAACCCGAAGGGGATTGTGTGCTGTAGAATGGGTGTTTGTGTAGCCCCAAATCTGTCTGTTTGACAGTGTGATGGTATTGGAAGACATCAGATCATGGAGCCATCATGAATGGGGTTAGTGCCCTTATAAAAGACTCCACTGAGCTCGCTTGTCCCTTCTGCCGTGTGAGGACATAGCAAGAAGATGGCTCCTCACTGGTTACCGAATCTGCCAGCACCTGCATCTTGGACTTTCAGCTGTAAGAACTGTGAGAAATAAATGCTGTTTGAACACCCAGTTTACGGAGTTTTTGCTATAGCAGCCCTGACTCAAGAAATCACGGGAACCTTCTGGGTCTGACACCTGTCGCTCAGAAGTGCGGGTGGCCTGGAGGCCACTGAGGTGTGGCTGGTGACTGAAGTGAAGCCAGTCTCGTCGGGGGTACACCCTTTAGCCTGCAGAGACTGACCCTGACTCTCGGAGATTAGCCCCAGAGCTGTGTGGCCCTGTGTGGCAGGACAGAGGGCATGGGGCTTGCCAACTCTGAAGAAGCCCTTCTCAACCCACCTGTCAGAATAAAACGCACTGTTCCTCAAAGGAGCTGCCCCAGTGTTTTCTCTCCGGGGTCCTATCTCCAGGCTCAAAGTCGCGGACTCTGTTCCTTTCACCCCCACCCCTTGCGGTGTCTCTTCCTCACTGGCACGGTTCCCACAAAAACAGTTACAGGTGTGTCCTCCCATTCAGAGATGCCACTTACATTGTCATGAGACACTTCTGTCCCAGTGAAAAGTTCAGGGCGGTAACTTAGGGCTTCTCAGTAAAAGTACAACAAAGCTGTGAGTGTGTGTGTGTGTGTGAGGGGCTAGTTTTAAAGTCACACTTGTGTTCTGCCTGCTCACTGATACAGGATTCTCCCGTGGGCCTGATGTCTGTTTTCTTCCCAGTCCCCAGAAGGCCTCTGAATGCTGCTGCATTTGGAGAAATGGGGGGATTCACAGTCTTTATGGATGGGGGGGGTCCATAAAGACCTGTATTATTGAACAGTCTTAATAGTCAACTCTGAGCAGCCTCTCATAAAAGGTAGTGCTGAGGGGTCGTAATCTAATAAGAAAGGCTGGTGGAAAGGGGTAAAATGGGTGCAAATGCCCCCTGACCCAGGTTTCCCCTGCCAACCTTTACTGAGAAGAGTTCATTTCTGAACAGTGGTTCCCTCTCAGGAGTTCAGGCACCTGAGTGTTTTCCCTTTTCACCCTATGCTCCTGGGTTTTCTTGGTTGAAAACGTGCAGGTCGGGGCACTTTCTTGGAAAGTGCTGGATTTTGGAAAGGTCCTGATGGGATGTCCGCAGGCTCTCCTGCTGGGCGGCCCGGGCCCTGCCCTCAGACGTTTGCTGGTGAGGGGCTGGTGCCTGGGGCGGGCTCAGCTGCCGTGTTCGCGTCCTGAGTGGATGCGTCCCAGGGGATGAGATGTCTGTGGGGTCCCCATGACCGACGCGGTGGGCAGACACACGTGTGGTGTGATTCTGGGTCCTTCAGGGGACTGGCTCTGTAGGGGTCCCCCGAAGGTTCATGCCTTCTCATCTACAGCTGGGACGTGAGTCTAGGGTTTGGGAACCTGCTTCACTGCTGACTGGCTCTCCACCACACCGTTTCCAAACCTTTTCCATTAGTGACTAAGGATGGCACCATGGATGCATCAGTTCTGCTCACAAAAGCACCCTTGAGCGCCCCCTTCTGAACTCCTCTCACCTGTGTTTTCCATGGCCTTAAAGCAGGGGTGTCAAACTCATTGTCACCAGGGGCCACATCAGCCTTGCAGTTGCCTTCAAAGGGCTGAATGTAATTCTAGGACTGTGTAAATGTAACTAGGGTCAAGGTGGTGCTGCCGCCGGGTAGAAACAAGGTTCTGGGCCGGATAAAACAAGGTGGAGGGCCGGATTCAGCCCACGGGCCTTGTGTTTGCCACCCGTGCCTTGGAGGATCCCGTCCCAACCCAGCTTTCTCAGGTGTCTCCATGACAAGAGAGATCTCTCCCTCTTCTCTTGCCCTGGCCCTTTGCTCATCTTCACTGGGTCCCTGGCAGCAAAACCACTGTGGCCACACTCAGCCGAGTCCTCCAGGGTCATGTGCACAAAGCAGGCCTCTGCCTGATGGGCAGAGGTTATTCTAGGAAAAGTACATAGGACCTTTGCAGCTGCACTACATCAGCGGTGTCATGTCCAGAGCTAAGCCATCTGCTGGAAGTCAGTAACGTCTCCCCCAGCCTTGACACCAGCCAGTTCTTCCAGGTAGGTCTTGCCCAGACCAGTCCTCCAGGGCCCAGGAGCCCAGTGGACAGATGACCAGGAATTCGAAGGCATGTCTGTCAGACTCCTGAGTTTTTGCTCACCACCAGGACCCACTCCTTGCTGGCTGGATTGGCCCACCCTGGGACTGGCCCTCAGTGCCTAGCTGGAGGCAGGGCCAGAGTACCTATTCTAAAGTCACCTGAGATACAGCGCTGACGTCTTGGAGTGGAGTCTTGGAATTTTTCTCTGGGCAGATACGTGCTTTGCCTGGAGCCAGAGAGCCTGTGTGAACTTTGATCACCGATGAACTAATCCAAGTGCAAACCCTTCGGGCCGGGCTGCTAGGTGCTTATCAAACTGTGTGGGCATGGAGTTGCTGCTCTTCGTGTTTCGTGAGTTACACTTTAAAGTCCGCAGGGTCAGTGGTGATGCCCCTTCTTTTATTTCTGATATTAGTAATTTGTGTTCTCTCTCTCTCTTTCTCTAGCCTGGCTAGGGGCTAATTGATTTTACAAGTGGGGAACCAAAAAATCCTGAATTTCTTTTTTTTAAATTGTGTATTGATTCTTACATGTTTAAACTAGTCGCCTTCAAAGTACTCTCCATTTGATGCAATGTATCTATCGAGACAGTTTTTCCACTGCTAAAAACAGTTTTTTGAACTTTTTGATTTTGATATCTTTTAGTGTTTCTGCTGTTTTTAAAATAATCAGTTGATTAACTCATTTTTTTGGTGGGGAGGAAGAAAGATATGGAGAGAAACATTGATTGGTTGCCACTTGCACACCCCTAACTGGGGCTCTGGCCTGCAACCCAATCATGTGCCCTGACTGGGAATCGAACCAGCGACCTTTCAGTTTGTAGGACAATGCTCAGTCCATGAAGCTACACCGGTGAGGGCATTTCTGCCGTGTTTTGTTTCATCTTTGCCACGTCAGCAAAACATTCCTCAAAGGGAAATGCTATTTCCTCTTCATCTAGAGAAACAAACAAAAAGTCACTTGGGGTGAGATTGGGTGAATAGGGTGGGTGGGGCACAGGGGTCATGCCAATTTTGGTCAAAAACTGTGGAACACTCAGTGCGTTGTAGGCGGGTGCACTCATAAATCACCCGTCATAAAATGGGCAAACATGTTGAAAGAGTCTTAAAAAAAAAAAAAAGCCCTGGCTGGTGTGGCTCAGTGGACTGAGTGCTGGCCTGCGAACTGAAAGGTCGCTGGTCTGATTCCCAGTCAGGACATGTGCCTTGGTTGCAGGCCAGGTCCCCAATTGGGGCATATGAGAGGCAATCTATAGATGTGTCTCTTGCACATTGATGTTTCTCTCTTTCTCCCTCCCTCTCTCCCTGAAAACAAGTAAAATCTTAAAAAGAATTCAGTGAAGCTGAACGCAGCCTCCCAGAACAACACTGCCTGGTGCACTGATACACATGGGTTCCTAGAACACTCATTTTGCAGAGGAAGTCTGTGCTACAAGAAGCCTGCCTCCAGAGGATAATTCCATTTTGGGGGGACCGTCGGGGGCCACTTTGTATTTATTTGTTTCAAAGAACCAGCTTCTGGTTTCATCAACTTTCTCTATTTTCTGTTTACAAATTTTCTGATTTCTGCTCTACTTTTTTCTCTCCTCTCACCCGAGGACATGCCCACTGGTTCTAGAGGGAGGGAAAAGGAGGCAGAGAAAGGGAGAGACATTAACTGCTTGCCTCTCCCACTCTCCCAACCAGGGACCAAACCCACAGCCTAGGTCTGTGCCCTGCCTAGGAATTGAAACCCTGGCCATTTGGTTTACGGGATGATGCCCCAACCAGCCAGGGCTCTGGTCTACTTCTTATTGCATCGTGTAGATTTAATTTGCCTCCTTTTATTAGTTTCCTAAAATGGAAACTTAGATGATGGGTTTTAGATTTTTCTTCTTTTTCAAAATAATGCATTCAGTGTAAATTTCCCTCTGAGCACCGTTTTCACTGTATCCCACAAACTTTGATAAACTGGGTTTTAATTTTCATTTAGTTCAAAATATTTAAAAATTTCTCTTGAGATTTCTTCTTTGACCTATGGGTGCTGTTTAACGTCCACATTTTTGGTGGGATGGTGGATTTTCCAGTTATTTTTCTATTACTGATTTCTAGTTTAATTCCCCTGTGTTCTAAGAGCAGGCATTGCGTGATTTCTATTTTTCGAAATTTGTTAAGGTGTGTTTTGTGCCCTGGAATGTGGTCCATCTGGGTGAATGTTTCATGGGAGTCCAGGAAGAGTGCAGCTTGGATGAAGTAGTGCATAGATGTCGATGGACCTGCTCCGTAAATGATGGTGTTGAGTTCAGCTGGGTCCTGGCTACCACGTCTATTTCTGAAAGAGGGATGTTGGAGTCCCCAACGATGATAGTGGACTAATGTATTTTTCTTTGCATTTCTATTAGTTTTGCCTCACGCAGTTTAACACTCCACTATTAGATGCATACACATTAAGAGGTGTATCTCTTCTCATAGAACAGACTCCT